GGGGAAAACTTTTTTTTTTTTTTTCATAAACAAAAAAAGGGCCCTTTCAAATAGCCATCATCTCTCCTGTACACACATTATGAAATAAGACCCTAACATACATTATAAGCCAGGAAGGCTTAGGGGAAAAAAGGGAAACACAGAAGTTTATTATAAAATAACATGTTTTAAAAACTATTAAAACTTGAGAACGAACATGGGTCGAGAATGCATTTGCAGAACTATGTCACATCTCTGATTTGAACAATTTAAGTACTGTTGATTTATAAGCCACTTGTAATGGAACCAGCCAAAGTCTAGTGTACCAACTTTAATTCAGACACATTTTCCACATGAGTAGGGGTTTGTTGGAGATTGGAAGCACGTAAAACAGAAGGAATGTGGATCGCTAACGTGGCAGAATGCTTCCTAAAGAATGATTTCTTTAAAAAAAAATTTATATAACTTCTCTTAAGGGTTATAACTCTACTCAGACCCAGACCCCCATCTCTCCCTCAGTTCCCCATTACATTTAGTCAAGAAAAAGTTGTCATTCCTCCTGTACCTGGCTGAGTTCAGTATTGCAGGGGTCTGCGGATCATTGGTATACTCATACATATATCGCACATGGGGAGGTTTCATGGCAAATATTTCTAAATCGTTATCTGAATTTCCTGGTTCTGTCCAGCTTCTGGTAAAAAAAACCCTGGAGCGGCTGTGAACGGAGTGATTTTTGTACTTTAATTCAATTAAAACCCAGGAGCTTGATGACATTGTTTTGAATAAAACGTTGCAATATCTGTTCCCTGCATCTCAGACTACTGCTGCATATGGTAAGAATAAAGAGAGAGCTGGAGCTGAAAACCTGCAGGAAGACAGTTCTCACTCAGCTGGGAATAGAGGGAGTTGGACAAATGCTCCCTCAAAAGGCATGAACATTTGGACAGAGCTGGGGGCTGAAAGCGAATGATGTTCTCTAGTTTCACCCATTAGTGAACCAACTAACAAACACAATGGTGTTGTTGTTATTCTTTCGCCATAAGCAACAGGACTCTGTGTGTGGGCAGCAGTTTAGTGGGGAGGAGGAGAAGTCGACCCCTTTTTGTCCTATTGATTTTTTCCTATTTGCATGACTTGAGCAAATTAAATGATGCAATATGGCTTTTTGTTACAAAACAAAGTGAGAGATACCACCCAGACACATATGTTGATTCGTAGGAGCTGTTTACATGAGAATAGAGTGAAATCTACCGTGAACTGAGCATAAAAATTAGATTCAGCCTGGGTATTTTTTTTTTTTTTTAATGCCTGGGCCAGCAAGACTGAAGCACAAGTTTTCCAAGAGTCTCTCAGACTTGACAACTGCAGTGTTGTAACAGAGGAATTCTTAATTAAACCTAAAATGGAGAAAGGGAGGGGGAGCAAAGACACCTGATTGTTTATTTCACGGGCAGGGCTTGTTAATGACCCAACCCCTCAGTCTTTCCTTGGAGTACAGTAGGGGACACACATTACTGCAACCCAGGGCAAGAAAGATGTGGCAAAACTCAGATAAGCATGTCTAGCTAAAGAATTGAACTCAACTACATTCAATAGTTCCTTACATATTAAAGAAAATGGGTTAGCCTGGAAACTGGACTTAATTGCCCAGCTAAGCATGATCAATATTCTACCTAATTTGCTACTATTTGTCTATGAAGTTTCTTCCTTTAGGAAAATGCTATTCCTGTAGTTTCATGAAAATTTGCAGAAATCTTTCTGGGGAAAACTTTTTTTTTTTTTTTCATAAACAAAAAAAGGGCCCTTTCAAATAGCCATCATCTCTCCTGTACACACATTATGAAATAAGACCCTAACATACATTATAAGCCAGGAAGGCTTAGGGGAAAAAAGGGAAACACAGAAGTTTATTATAAAATAACATGTTTTAAAAACTATTAAAACTTGAGAACGAACATGGGTCGAGAATGCATTTGCAGAACTATGTCACATCTCTGATTTGAACAATTTAAGTACTGTTGATTTATAAGCCACTTGTAATGGAACCAGCCAAAGTCTAGTGTACCAACTTTAATTCAGACACATTTTCCACATGAGTAGGGGTTTGTTGGAGATTGGAAGCACGTAAAACAGAAGGAATGTGGATCGCTAACGTGGCAGAATGCTTCCTAAAGAATGATTTCTTTAAAAAAAAATTTATATAACTTCTCTTAAGGGTTATAACTCTACTCAGACCCAGACCCCCATCTCTCCCTCAGTTCCCCATTACATTTAGTCAAGAAAAAGTTGTCATTCCTCCTGTACCTGGCTGAGTTCAGTATTGCAGGGGTCTGCGGATCATTGGTATACTCATACATATATCGCACATGGGGAGGTTTCATGGCAAATATTTCTAAATCGTTATCTGAATTTCCTGGTTCTGTCCAGCTTCTGGTAAAAAAAACCCTGGAGCGGCTGTGAACGGAGTGATTTTTGTACTTTAATTCAATTAAAACCCAGGAGCTTGATGACATTGTTTTGAAAAAAACGTTGCAATATCTGTTCCCTGCATCTCAGACTACTGCTGCATATGGTAAGAATAAAGAGAGAGCTGGAGCTGAAAACCTGCAGGAAGACAGTTCTCACTCAGCTGGGAATAGAGGGAGTTGGACAAATGCTCCCTCAAAAGGCAAGAACATTTGGACAGAGCTGGGGGCTGAAAGCGAATGATGTTCTCTAGTTTCACCCATTAGTGAACCAACTAACAAACACAATGGTGTTGTTGTTATTCTTTCGCCATAAGCAACAGGACTCTGTGTGTGGGCAGCAGTTTAGTGGGGAGGAGGAGAAGTCGACCCCTTTTTGTCCTATTGATTTTTTCCTATTTGCATGACTTGAGCAAATTAAATGATGCAATATGGCTTTTTGTTACAAAACAAAGTGAGAGATACCACCCAGACACATATGTTGATTCGTAGGAGCTGTTTACATGAGAATAGAGTGAAATCTACCGTGAACTGAGCATAAAAATTAGATTCAGCCTGGGTATTTTTTTTTTTTTTTAATGCCTGGGCCAGCAAGACTGAAGCACAAGTTTTCCAAGAGTCTCTCAGACTTGACAACTGCAGTGTTGTAACAGAGGAATTCTTAATTAAACCTAAAATGGAGAAAGGGAGGGGGAGCAAAGACACCTGATTGTTTATTTCACGGGCAGGGCTTGTTAATGACCCAACCCCTCAGTCTTTCCTTGGAGTACAGTAGGGGACACACATTACTGCAACCCAGGGCAAGAAAGATGTGGCAAAACTCAGATAAGCATGTCTGTACACCCAGCCAACACTATATTCATATTTGTTTAAACTTAAAAACATCGGGAAACTGTAAATGCCACTGCCCCCAAAACAAGTTCCTAGAGAAGATGTTCCTACACAAGTACCACTGAAAGCCCGATTTTATAACGTTACAAAACATGACAGGAGGAGAATCGCCACGGTTTTCTGTGATAAACACGCTCCAGCCAAACCTTTCTCCAATTCTGGGGTTCTAAACTGGACTACCAGGAGTTCCTTTTCGCTGCTTAACTATTGTAGCGCAGGACACCTCCCCCGCCTTCTGACCCGGCTGGGGATCTTACACCAACCATGCTTCAACATCCTTTACGATTCAATCCTCTCTCCGACCGAGCACGTGGAGAAAACTGCACAAATCTTTTTACCCTAGAAAAACCGGAAACCACAGCCACCTTCATTTAGTTTCACCGCAGCCAATGCCCGATTCGATCCAAAACACACTGTTCATCTCGATTCTTTTAAAATATTTACCCAGCCCAGAATGCGGGTACCACAGAGCCTTCTCTTTTCAGAGACAAGCAGTTTTGCACAGCATCCCGCCCGCGGACTCTTGGGGGCGGGAGAGGTGTCTGCGCGCCCCAGAGGAACACACAGACGAATCACGCTAGCGCTTTAGAAAGTTATCAAGAAGGACTCCCCCAGACAAGTGTGGCCCCTCTTCAGCCACCAGCAGCGCCGGAGCCTCAGGGAACCCCACCCAGTCACTATGCCAATCTCGCAGCTGCGAGGCGGGTGCATGCCTACCTTGCTGTCCAGGCGCCCCAGCCCGGGGCTGTCACTCCGCAAGCAGCAGGACAGTCGAGGGTAGAAGCCACCACACAGCATCTCTCCCCCACTCAGCAGTTCCAGCTGGGACATCAACCGCCTATCTCTCCTTTTCAGGCGCTTCGGGGGGTTCCCATTCAGGCACCTTCTCCTCCTCACTCCGCTCCCTTCACTTCTTTCCCCAAACTTAGCATCTCCTTCAAAGAAGCCCAGAGCCACGGCCAACAGCAGCAGCTTAAAGGACAGCATCTTCAGCATCAAATGCCCCGCGCGGCAGGGGCTGGGCGCGGGAGGTGGAGGGGGGGAAGGTCACTGCCCAGCAGGGGCCCTAGGGCGCAGCTCCGGGAAGGGGCTGCGGGGCGGCAGGACACTCGAGAGGCAGAGAGAGCTGGCGGGGGGGAGAGGGTGTAGAGCGATGCAACTTTGCAAAAAATAAAAGACAAGGCGATGGGCCCGATGCCTCAGGGGAGCCGGAGGAGCGAGATAAAGTTGTGCGGTTGACACCGTTTGCAGTGGTGCCAATGTCAGTCGGGTGGGGGGCTTCTTGATGCGGCTGAGAAGTGGGAGGAGGAGAAGGAGGTGGAAGAGGGGGAAGAAGAGGAGGAGAAGACGGCCACAGAGGTTCACTGGTCCGTGTAACGGGAGTTGTGTAGGTGAGACAGTACCAGGAACAGACACGGCGGCGGCGGCGGCGGCGGGGCAGGCGGAGGCAGGGCCAGCGCTGGGCTCTAGAGGATGCTGAGGTCTCCTCTGCCGGCGGCTGCAGCTTCTCACAGGAGCCAGCCTCGAGGGCGCGGGTGTCCGCGCCGCCGCCTGGCCGCGCTGCCCGGCTCGGGCCGGGTGGGGTGGAGTGGGGTGCGGGCCGTGCACGGCTCTGGTCCCCCCGGCCCGGCCCGCTCCGGACCGGGGCGCGCGGCCCGGCTCTCCGTCCACTCTTCGCTCCTCACGCAGCCCCTCCGCACGACCCTGCGCGGAGGCGCCTGGAGAAAGTGAGGAAGAGCAGGCGGCGGGAGGTGAGAAGGGAGGGGACCCTTCCAGGGCCTCCCCTACCCCGGCTCCGACCCGCCCCTTGCCCCGGAGGGAGGGTGAGCCGAGTGGGCTGGAGTTGTGGGGGAGCTTCTCGGCCCCTTTCCCCCAACCCTGGCCCGCGCGACTCCTCCATCCCCTGGCGATTTGCAGTGTGAAGCTCACGCCGGTTCAGATCTTCCTGGGGTCACATTGAGAGGCGGGGATACAGCCCCGATGCTGCAAGCCGCTGAGAATGTGCAGATGGTTTAAAGACTGTGCCGAGAAGATGCACCTCTCCTAAGTCCTGCGCGCGCCCGAAGTGGCACAAGCGCCTATGCGTGGGGTGGGGTGTTGGGGCCTCCTGGCGGAACTGCTGCCACCAGGGTCCTGGGCGGGCTGGGCCCGGACGCCCCTTTCCCTGACCCCACCTGTGCCCTGGAGCGTAGCTGGGCCCCGCTGGCGCTCTCTGGAGAACAGAGGAATACCCCAGGTGGAGGAGCGGGGGAGAAGCGGGCATTGGGATCAGCGTTCGTTTTAAATGGAAAAAAAAAGAAAAAGAAAAAATCCTGGGGAGATTCCCGCAGGGGTGTAAACACAGAGGCCCTGGAGAAGGAATTAGTAGTAGGTTTGCGCGCGTCAAGGGGCTGGATGCGCTACTTTCCCAGTGTACCTAAATAGAGGAGCCTCTTCCCTCCCCACAACTGGACAAAGTCTAAAGTGATCTGTGCCTTATCGAGCGCGGTGACGTGATATTAACTGGATCCCCCCCAAATCGGCATCAGAAGGAATCTCTACGAAGTTGCATCACAAAATGTGCTTTCTGTCCACTTGAGGTTTAACAAGGGGAGTTTATTTTCTGGTACAGGGGTTCTGAAGAGGAGATGAGGCAGTTTTCTCATTTTGGCAATGGAGGAACGTTCGCCATGTTTGGATTTGCTTCACTTTTCCAACACAGACTTGGTCAAGCTAATGTGAAAGTTCCGTGACAATGGGTGTGGATAACTGATTAATTATTGTTAAAGTGGTCGCAGTGGCTAGATAAGGCTTCTGCCCCTTTCTCTTCCAGGGCCTGGATTTGCTAGTGGAACTAGGTTTTTCCCAAAAGAGGTGACAGAATAACTGAGAAGAATCTGCTGGGCTGTGGAATCCAGTCCTGAGCTCACTGTAAGTGCTCCTATGACGTACTTAACATTTCTCTCAGGAGCTGTTGTATACACAAGACTTCTGTATACTTGTGATCCCAAATGCTCCTTGTGATCCCACAGACTACTTTATCTGACATTCTCCCTGCCCCGTTGAAGACTTTTTAATATAAAATAAATCACAGAGCTATAAAGACTTTAAGACTTTAAACTCTTATTTAATAAACAAATCTGGAAAGGAATCCTGTCGAGATTAAGTCATTTGCACAATCTCGTCTAATTAGGTGTTTAAAAACCAGAGACCCAGTCTAGGTTGCTTTTCACTATTTAAGGTTTTATTCCCAAATACCAGTGTTATGTTGGTTTTCCAAAGTAAAAAATCCTTTAAAAATTCTATTTCCGTGGTTTGAGCTCCCACCCCAAGTGATGAATTTTTGAAACAGGCCTTACTTATGGTTTGTGTTTAAAGACTAAGGACTTTTAAAGGTAAATTAATTTTGGTTTTAAGAAAATTATGCAGATATCATAAACTGAGACCCTAAGTTAAAGATAGTTTATAAATGATTACTGAAATGAGACACAGTTGTTCCTTCTTGATCCATGGAGCTAGAATTGATCCCATCTGCTGTTAGTCACGACAATCCATAATTTGGGTCACTGATGAGTTAGTTGCATTTATTTTCAGTGTCACTGATAGAATTTCCAAATAGTCACCAAACAGTGTTATACAAGCGAACTAACTTCTGATTCATTTTTTGCAGAGGGAAATAGCAAACTCATCTATAACCAGATCTACAGCTTTTTTTTTTTTTTTTTTTAAGAATCAAGTTATTGATTGATCTATTTCCTGAAAGAAAACCATGAAAGCCCTCCTGGAGGCTGCCCAACCGTCTGTGAACTTGAACCTGAGAAATGGACTTTTTTTTTCATCAGGGTGATCTCCTTCAGCTGAATCATCAGAAGTGGTGAGAAGAAAAGACCCCTACCCAACCAAACTGCTTCAGGCAAATTCAATCCATCTGTCAAGGAATGGAGCTGTACAGTGCGGCCAGATCACCGTTTGCTTGCACCACCACTGAGCTATCTCTCTAGGACTGCCACCTACATGTAGGTTGCACCCAGCGCAGGGCATCTGGCTGAGGCAGGGATTGGGAGCCGAAATCCTGCTCCATTCACCAAGCCTAGTTTATTGGTGCCTGGCCATATGATGTGGCTTCTTTTTCTAATTTGCACCAATGCACCCTGTATGGTCTAATGGCATGTCTGACCATCCCAATCCCATACCCCAGTCCTATCTAAGATTCTATTCCTTACCTCAGATGGATTCAAGATTTTCATGAACAAATTAGGTGTTTTGCAAAAGATGAAATGTTTGACCCCAATTGAAATTAATTTCATAGGTGAAGTTCAAAATATTACCATATATAGGAATTATGTATACATTTATACATGTACGTATATACAGTTAAGTAGATACCATTGTCTATGTATCAGAAGTTAGCACAGTTTAAATGGGTAAATGTTTAAAATAGAACTATTTGGGGTATTTGAATCGGTTTTATATACAGATTTCTGGACTTCACAGAAATATGTGCTATTTAATTCTATTTTAACAAATATAAAGTGCCAGGCACTATACTCCGCAATATGTATCCAGTAATGAAAAATAATGGAAACATTCTGCTTCTAGTAGTTAATAATCTAGATCCAGAGATTGAACCCATGTCTTGTGTCTCCTGCGTTGGCAGATGGTTTCCTTTCTACTTGCACCACCTTGGAATCCCCAATAATCTAGTAAGGAAGAGAAATGATAAGGTCACAAATGAACTTGTGATTTAATAGTTACAGTAAAGGCTATGAAAAAAATGCTAAGATGGAGAATAACAAGGCACATTTATTTCAGATTAAGTGGCTGGAAGGAGCCTTTCTGTGAAAACGACATTTCAGCTGGGACCCGAGGATGAATTGGAAGGAGTGTGTGAAGTGAGTCCTCCTTGCCATTTAAAGTACAGGAAAAAGAATGAAACATTGCCATCTGCAGCAGCTTGAATGGATCTAGAGATTATCATACTAAGTGAAGTAAGTCAGAGAGAGAAAGACAAATGTCATATCACTTATATGTAGAGTCTAAAAAATGATACAAATGAACTTCTTTATAAAACAGAAATAGACTCACAGACATAGAAAACAAATTTATGGGTACCAAAGAGGACAAGGGGGCAGGGATAAATTAGGAATTTGGGATTAACAGCACTTCTGTATATGAAATAAACAACAAAGACCTACTGTGTAGCACAAGGTGTGTGCATGCTAAGGTGCTTCAGTCGTGTCCGACTCTTTGTGACCCTGTGGACTGTAGCCCGCCAGGTTCCTCTGTCCATTGGTTTCTCCCGGCACGAATACTGGAATGGGTTGCCGTGCCCTCCTCCAAGGGAAGTTCCCAACCCAGGAATCGAACCTGTGTCACTTATGTCTCCTCATTGCAGGCAGACTCTTTACCACTAGTGCCGCCTGGGAAGCACCCCACCCTTGAGCCATACTCAATATCTTGTAATAACCTCTATTGGAAAAGAATATGAAACTGTAGTACACATATATATTTATGTATAACTAAATCACTTTGCTGTGTCACTTTCCTGAAACTAGCACAACAAACATTGTAAATCAACTGTATTTCAATGAAAAAAAAGGAAACCTTTGAATTCAGAATAGAATATGATACATTTAAGGGAAGGCAGAATAAATAGCAAAATAAAGTAGACAGCTAAGACTGGAGAGGCTATAGGCCAAACTCACAGCGTAGTTTATAGACTCCAGGAAACTAGTGAAGTTTCATTCATGCATTTGTCATTTCCTTTTACAAGTACCTTATCCTTGTTGAACTTCTTTAAATTCTGGCTTTTCACTCAACTTCCCTGGTGGCTCAGAGGGTAAAGCGTTCTGCCTACAATGTGGGAGACCCAGGTTCAATCCCTGAGTTGGAAAGACTCCCTTGGAGAAGGAAATGGCAACCCACTCCAGTATTCATGCCTGGAAAATCCCATGGATGGAGGAACCTGGTAGGTTACAGTCCATGGGGTCGAAAAGAGTTGGACACGACTAAATGACTTCACTTTCTTTCTAGGAATTTTAGTTCTAACGGCACTTCAGCCATTTTTTCTCCTCTAATCAGCACTTATTTTCTTTGTTTGTTTTCTTTTGTGCACTGTTACTTCTCCGAAGTTTTTTTCATACGTAGAAATTGAATATCCATGTGACTGTAAACTCCATGAGGGCAAAATTGCATTTCCTTCTTGATCCACCCCAGCACAGTCTTGTACAGGCTTATAGTACGGTGGGTGCTGACTTCTAGATAAATGCTGCTGGTAGTCCAATCTTGTTTGACTCAATGCTTTTTAAAGGTTTTCAATACAGAAAATATTTGCATTATAAAAATTTTGAATTGTTAAAACAGGAGGGAAGACACAACTTAAAGTGCACCCTTGCCAAGGAATTTCAGGAGACATTGTCACTAAAATGTGAGTCCCCTGAGGAAGGATGGTGAACAAATACAAGTCCTTTAAACATTAAAGACCAATTATAGTTCAAGCTCACTGATGGCAGTCAGCAATAGGGCTGTTGGTAGGGTTTGCTCTAGTCATTCAGTTGTTTTTAAAAGTTGGCACCTGCCACATGCCAGATCCTGCCCTGGACACTGGGGACAAAGTGAGCAAAACTCCTGTCATGGTGCTCTGCTCCATTGCGGGAGGCAAATAACAAGTAGTTACAGAACATGCTAGAAAATGCTGAGCGCTGTAGAAGAAGGGGATCATGGGAAAAGAGTACAGGGGCTGAGAAAAATAATAATTTTATTTAGTAAGACTCTATGTACGAACGATTTCCCTTCCAAGAGTGCATTCGTAATTCCAATTTAAGTCCAACAAAGTGAGCCTAGGTACCCAACTAACACAATTGGCTATGTAGTACTGTACTGTAATAGATGTGTAATACTTTTCACACAAATAATACATAAAAACAAACACAAAAGATAAGAGACGGTCTTTGATCTTAAGAAAACATTTTGATCTTACAGTACCTTGGAAAGTACAGTAGTACAATACAGTGGCTGTCATACAGAGGCTGGCATCAAGTGAACAGGCAAGAAGAATTCCTGGAGGTGGGAGATGGTAGAGCTGAAGGGTCTTCAGCAGCAGGTGACCAAGGGCAAGCTGCCATTTCACTCACACCTGATGCTGATGAAATGCACCTTCACATCTTTGAAACTTCACAGCTTGAAAGTTCGTATGTAGGGGACTTACTGTTTATAGTCAGTCCTCTATATCCACAAGTTCTGCATCTGGGGGTTCAACTAACTGCCACTGAAAATACTAAAAAACGATTCCATGAAGTTCCAAAAAGCAAAACTTGAATTAGCCTTGCACGGATGACTATTTACATGACTACATAGCATTTGCATTGTATAAGTATAATAAATATAGTAAGTATAATAAGTATAACATATATATGGGAGGATATGTATGCATTATATGCAAATACGATGCCATTTTGTATAAGGGACTTCAGCATGTAGATTCTGATAGGGAAGGTTCTAGAACCATTCCCCTAGGGATACCACGGGTATGTTGTCAGGAAAGGTGACTCCTGAGGTACAGGCAGAGACTGGGGAATAGATATTAGAGCAGAGTGGGCTACATGCATGCGGATGTCTGTAAGTACAGGGAACAGCAAGTCAAAGGCCATAAAGCAAGCATGCTTGGTATGTTTAAGGATTAGCAGAGAGACCAGTGCAGGTGGAGCAGAGTGGGTGACAGAGGAAATGAGAAGAAATGAGGGCAGGCAATATGGGGCAGCCCAGAGCCCTGCATTGTGTAGGATTTTACAAACTGTGTTATAGACTTTGGTTTTTCCTCCGAATGAAATGGTTATCACTCTGCGGTCTTGGAAATAAACTCTATATGTTAATTTATTATTAAATAAATAATAGCTGTTTCCTATTACAGAGAAAATTAAATACAAGGAAGTAGTTAAGTGAGTGTTGGGAAACTGAAAAAAGGAAGATTATTTAAGTAAAATAGTGATTGTGGGAAGCCCCTCCCATCCCTAGGGATTGGGGAACAAGAGAGGTTGGAATTACCAAAACCTGGAAGCAGACAAAGGAACCCTGGGGTGGGAACCTCCAGGATGGGGATGTGAAGCTGATTGTGGGCATTCTTGGGAAAAGCAAGACTGGAACTGCCACTGACAGGGCACATTCATTTTCTAGGCTTCCATAGCAAAGTACCACAATCTATGTTTCTTAGAGCGACAGAAGTGTATTTGCTCACAGTCTGAAATTGGAGGGAGGGCAGAGTTTGTTCCTTCTGTTCTGGGGCTCTCTCCTGGTTCTGGCAGGCTCAGGTGTACCTTTGCTTGGTTTATAGGTGGCGTTCTTCTTGTTTCTTCACATCGTATTCCCTCCAAGCATGTCTGTCTCTGAGTCTGTATTTCCCCCTTTTATAAGGACACCAGTCATATTGGATTAAAGTCTACTTCATCTTAACTCATGCATCTGCCAACACCTTCTTTTCAATTAAAGCCAACTTCAGGGGTACTGGGGGTTAGGTCTTTAACATCTTTGGGGGGGGGTGCACAATATAGTGCTTAAACCAAGAGAAGGGGTCATCCCCAGGGTGATTCAGACAGGAACGGCAAGGAAGGAGGAAGGAGCAAGTCTCTTCTCTTGTCATTTGGCCTTCCAGCCTCCCTCCCATGCCCTGTGTCAGGTCAGGTTGCCAGTAAACAGAGCTCAAGATGTGGATCCATGCAAGTGATTTACTGAAGGAGAACTGTTAGGAAAGGATAGTGAGGGAAGCTGGATAAGGCAGGGGAACATAGCTAGGTAAGGATGAAGCTGAAGATATAAACTGGAACCTAGCTTCATTCTGATCCTACTAAAGCATGAATTGCGCTACAGAACTGGTTTCAACCTGAGGCAACGGTGAAGTGGGATGATTTTTTTTAACCCTTGTGTTGGTTATTATTTGCTGGTTGCCTTCTATTGGGACATAAGCCCCCAGGTACATAGGTGCCATTCTGCCATAACAATGCTCTGGAGAAGGGGCAGCTGTGAACTCTAGTAGCCCACGTTTTTCAAGGAATTTGTCCATTTCATCTGTTGATATACAGTTGTCCATAATATTGCCTTGTTATTTTTTTATTCTATAGAACCTGTAGTAATGTCACTTCTCTCATTCCTAATATTGACAATTTGTGTCATCTGTCTTTTTTCCTGATTAGTGTGGCTGGAGGTTTATCAGTTTTATCAAAGAACTAGTTCTTGCTTTCATTAAATTTCTCAATTGTTTTTCTGTGTTTTTTTTTTTTTTAATTTAGTTGGTTTCCCTTCTGATCTTTATTGTTTAGTCTCTTCAGCTTGCTTTGGGTTTAATTTGCTCTGATTTATCTAGCTGCTTATGATGGAGCCTGAGGTCATTAATTTGGGACCTTCATCTTTTTCTAATGTATGTGATTAGCAGTATACATTTTGCCATAGTACTGATTTTAGCCACATCCCACAGATTTGAAATGTGCTTTCAATTTCATTCAGTTCAAAGTACTTTCTGATTTTCCTGTTGAGTTCTTCTTGACCAGTATAGTTTATTTAGAAGTGTCCAAATACTTGGGGATTTTTTTTTTAAGCCTTTATGTTATTGATTCGAATTCAGTTCCATTGTAGTCAGAGAGCATCATCTGTATGAATGGATTCTTTTAACAACTTTTTGAGACATTTTTATGGATGGGAAAATGACCTAACTTGATATACATTCTGTGTACAATGGAAGAAAATACATACTTTGCTGTTGTTGGGCGGAGTGTTCTATAAATGTTAAGTTGTTTGGTTAGTGTTCAGTTTTCTGTTTTTGGTTGATTTTTCAGTCGCTTGTTCTATCAGTTATTGAGATAACTCTGAATATATTATGTATTTTTCTATTTCTTCTTGCAGTTCTATCAGTCTTTGTTTCACGCATTTTGAAACTCCGTTAACTGAGCATATACGCATGTAGGACAGTTATATATTCCTCATGAATTTTTCCTTTTGTCATTATGAAGTATCTTCTTTTATCCTTGGTGATAATCTTTGCTACAAAATTTACTTTGTTATTAATATAGCCACTCTTTCTTTTGATTAGTGTTAACAGACTTTCCTCCCATCCTTTTACTTTTGGTCTATTTCTGTCTTTATATTTAAAATGCATCTATTGTAGGAAGTGTATAGTTGAGTTTTGTTTGTTTCTGTCACTGTGATAACCTTTCATTTTTCATTGAGGTGTTTAGATCCTTTTCATTGGATGTGATTACTGATCCAGTTGGGTTTAAGATTTGTCACCAGTTTGTTTATTTGTCCCTTCTATTTTTTGGTTCTTTTAAAATTCTTTTGGATTGGATATTTTGATTTATTCCATTTTTTCTCTGTCTTTGGCTTATTAGCTATACCTTTTACTTTTTTTGATGGTTACTTTAGAGTTTGGAGTAGTTTTAGCTTATCATAGTGTATCTTCAGTTAATATGATACTGTGTCATGGATAGTATAAAAGCCTTAGCAGTATACTTATGTTTTCCTCTCCTAGACTTTGTACATATTCTCCACATATGTTATAAACCTTGGTGTGTATTGCTGTTTAGACAGATTTTTTTTTTGTCAGATTTAAAAATTGGAATAAAAATCTTTCCTATTTATCCACATAATTATAATTTCTGATATTCTTCATCCCTGAGTACAGATACATATTTCTCTGTGCTATGATTTTCATTTTGACTGAAGAACATGTGTTGACAGTTCTTATAGTTGGAGTCTGAATGTGGGGACTCAGCTTTGGTCTGACAAAGTATTTTGCCTTTGGTTTTTTGAGAGACTTTTGTGCTGGGTATAGAACTTTAAGTTGACAGGGTTGTTTTTTTTTCCCCTAAGTACTTTAAAGATGTTACTCTATTGCCTTAACTATATTTTTCCAAAGAGAACTTGTTATCATCCTTATTTTGTTTTTTTGTTTATATTCTGTTTTAATTCTCTGTTTTCCCCTTATCAGTGAATATAATCTTCTTGATTCTGTTACACCTTTGTATAATTTTCTTCATGTTTCTTGTGCTTGGGACTTGTTGAGCTTCTTAGATTTCATCAAATGTGAAACATTTCTGGCCATTATGTCTTTAGTATCTCCTCTCCTCTGGGGACTCTAAAAATGTATCTTATCAGGCATCTTTAAAGCATCCCATGGCCCACTGACACTCTTAATTTTTCTCTTTTTTTTTTTTTAGGCTCTACTTTCTCTATATTTCATTTTGGTTTCTACATCCTCAAGTTCACTAATCTTTAATTCTGCAGTATCTAATCGGCTGCTGTCTCATCTTGGGTATTTTCTAGTTCAGTCATCCCATTTTTCATCTTGAAAAGTTTGATTTGGGTCTTTAAAAAAATCTTTCAAATATGCACTATACTCGCTTAATCTTTCCCCTATATTCTTGAACATAAGGCATATAATTATAGTAACTGTTTTAATGTCCTAATCTGACAATTCTGTCATCCATGCAAATTCTGGAACTGTGTTTATGCATTGTTTTTTCTCCTTCTATGGCTTATATTAGCCTACTTCTTTGTAAGCCTGATAATTTTTTTGTTGTTAACTTCCAAACCTTGTGATTTTTACCTTGTTAGATGCTTAGTACTACATCCTTATAAAAATTCTTGAACTTTGCTCTGAAGTTTGGTTTTAAGTCACTAGGATGACAGTTTTGTCTTTTCAAACCTCCTGTTAAATCTTGTTAGGTGAAACCAGAACCACCTTTAATCTAAGGCTAATTTCTTCCACTCCTGAGGTAATACGACTGTAAATACCCTGCCTGATTTTCCTTGAGTTATGTTTTCCCTCTGGCTGCTTGGAACACGCGCTATTCTTGGACCTGCCTGAGTTCTGAGTATCAGTTCCTTTTAAGTGGTTCTTTCCTTTTCCTCAGGTAACTTCTCTGTAGGCATATGCTCCTACATATGAAGCCTTGAGGGCGTATCCCCTGTGGATCTCCACAGCTGTTTCTCTGTACAGCTGTCTTCTCCCCAGGACTCTGCTTTTTGAACTCCAGCTCCTGGCCACTCCAGACTCTGTGCGTCTTTCCTCAGCTCGAGGTTACTGCCTGGCTCTGTTTGGATTCTCCTTCTTTGCACCGCAGTCTGGAAAATCTGTCTGGGCAGTCAGCTGGAACTGTCATGGGGCTCATATTATTTGTTTTCCTTCTCTCAGGGACCAGTGTCCCCTGCTTAGTAAGTTGATATGCAGTGCCTGAAAGCTTTTCTCTATTTTTTTGGTCCTCATTGTTATAGTAATATAATATTAACTGTTTAGTTGTTTCAGGAAGGGTGTTCTAAGTGGTCCGTCCTACTCCATCTTAGATGATCTAGAAGAAGTCTTACCTTTTTTTTTTTTTTTTGGTGAGATTTTTGATAACCAATTCAGTTTCTTTAAAATATAACCTATACTTGGTGACTGTTTTTATTTCTTTTCAGTTTCTTATGGTCAGCCCGTGACCATGGCACTCTGCCTCCCTGGACTGACTGCTTCATGTAATCTGTACCCTCACAAAGTAACTGGCAGGTGTTTATTTCAGAGCTTTTCTTCCATCTTTGCCCTTCATTGTGAGTAGTGATGTTAATGAATTACATTCATGTTTCCTCTTATATCAAGCTCTTTCAGCTCTGTCCACCACCTTGTGTTTCAAGAGCCATACCCCGGCCTTCTTCCCGCCTCTGCTATTACTCTGGGGAACCCTGACTCTCAGAAGGTTTCTCTCCTTGTACGCCATCAGCAACAGTTACTTCTTTTGTTTACACTAGACAGTGTGCTAAATTTATTTAGAAAACACACAGCAAGCCCTTCTGCCACTTTTTTTGGTCCAGAGGCTAACACCTGGCCGCTGTGTATTCTGAATGTAAGGGTGGGGAAATCAGCAGCAGGCTTTTAATAAGTGCTCCTGTTTTCAGCCCCGTCTTGAACCCTACTGCCTATCCCACCTGTCATCCTGAGTCTATGACCCTCCCTCCACTGAGAGGCAGAATGGTTCCCTCCTTGACTGCGGCCCCTCGTATTTATTCTGGGCTGTGTGTTTTCCTAGCTCATTTATTGAGCTCCACTCCTCTCACTCCCCACCCCCTGGAACTGCATTGCAAGAGTTCATTCATTGATGAACTTCCTCCAGTTCTTTTCACTGCTCTCTGTTTACCCTTCCCCTTTAAATTGGTATAGTCTTCTTTTAATACGATCCGAGAAACAAGAGAAGATAAAATCATATGCTCAGTTTGTAATCTTAACCTGGCACCAGTTGCTGTTTAGTATTAAAGCTAAAGATTATTTTTTGTCTAAAACTTATATTTCTTTCTTTCTTTCTTTCTTTTTTTTTTTGCAGGGGTACCTGTCTTGGGAGAACCAAAGGATTGGTTGCAGGATTTAAAAAAAAAATGTTATTTAGTTATTTATTGTTGGCTGTGCTGGATCTTTGTTGCTGCATATGGATTTTCTCTAGTTGCAGAGAGTGGGGGCAACTTTCAAGTTGCAGTGTGTGGGCCTCTCATTGCCATGGCTTCTCTCATTCCAGAGCATGGGCTCAAGGACATGCAGGCTTCAGTAGTTGGAGACACGGGCTTCGTTGCCCTGCAGCATGTGGAATCCTCCCAGACCAGGGATCAAGCCTGTGTCTTCTGCATTGGCAGGTGGATTCTTAACCACTGGACCACCAGAGAAGTCCACATTTAATTCTTTATTCACACTATTGACCAATCCCTTTTCCTGACACCATGTCTTTTCTCGTTTCAGTTATTCCAGCCTCAACTGCTTTTCCCCTTATTTATCTGGATATTACTCCTGAGTCTTCACTTTCTCTCTCTGTCTCTTTACATGGTTTTATACTCTAGATTATATCCTTGAGCTTCTTCTCTGCTTACTATACCTATTGAACATTTGCATGTGAATATTCACCTTTATCTCAGTATACTCCAAACTAAACTTGCCTTCTTCACTCCTGTATCTCTTCCACCCACCTGTACCTCCTGCCTTGATAAACAGAACTTCCCTAAACTCACATTTAGATCTAGAAGCTTCATTTAGAATCTTTGTAAGAATGATCCACAGATGGCTCTTATGTTACCATATTGGGGGACATACAGTATGTGGTTGTTTCTCTTTTTGTAATGATAAGATTTTTCAGTGGCTTAGTGTGTTATAATACAAATTATCCATTAACAAACCCCTATAACCTCTCACCAAGTAGTTTTGACGGTCAGTGAGCTATTGACAGTCATTGCCTAGGTCCAGTATTAGGGACTTACATTTCTTACCAGCTTTACTGCAGCGACTTCTTAAGGTTTCCACGCCTTTAATTTTTTTCCCTTAACTTGACCCTTCTATATGCACTACCACTAAATAGATTTTTGTGTACCACAGATCACTTTATATGATTTCCCTGCTTAAAATGCTTTAGTGGATTCTTAGTGAATTCAGAATACAATCCAAATTTTAGAGCAAAGATATACAAGAACCTTTACCATCTGGTCCCTGCTTTACCTGACTGTTGCTTACTTTCTATTTTGGCTCAGTTGGTAAAGAATTCACCTGCAATGGAGGAGACCCTGGTTCAGTTCCTGGGTTGGAAAGATCTGCTGGAGAAGGGGTAGGCTACCCACTCCAGTATTCTTGGGCTTCCCTTGTGGCTCAGCTGGTGAAGAATCCACTTGCAATGCCGGAGACCTGGGTTCGGTCCTTGAGTTGGGAAGATCCCCTGGAGAAGGGAAAGGCTACCCACTCCAGTATTCTGGCCTGGAGAATTCCATGGACTGTATAGTCCATAGGGTTGCAAAGAGTCAGACATGACTGAGTGACTTTCACTTTCACTTTATAAATGCTTGAACCTTTCTAAAATAGAATTCATCTTGAGGTAGACAAAGTTATAAGATGTTGGTTTAACACTTATGGGAAATGAGGGATGAGCTGCTGATACAGAGGCAGATGGCAGGATTATTTTCATAGCAATAACACCTAAGCTTTTAAGAAACAGAACATCTTAACATTTCACAACATATATAAATTAAATCATTACACTGGACACCTTAAACTTACACAGTGCTGTCTGTCAATTATATCTCAATAGAACTGGCAGACTACTTATAAATAAAGAAAAATCCCCGTGTCTTTGACCACATCAACAATGGCAACGTGGTGTCTCAAGGCCATCCCCAGGAGTATTGACTAGGGCAGGAAACCCAGGGAAGGAATATAGGATAAGGGGGCAGTGACTTTTGGAAGACAGCGAAGTTACGTTTTTTCCCCTAGCTTTATTGAAGTAGAAATTAACAAAAATTCTGCAGGTTTTAAGGTGTGACGTGATAGTTTCATGTATATATTAATATATATGCATTGTGAAGTGATTGCTACAATGAAGTTATTAACACATTCATCTCCTCACATTGTTACCTTTTTGTGGCTTTTTTTTTGGTATGGTGAAAAAAGTTACATTTTAAAATGTATTGTTTATAAATTCGCCAAACAAGTATATTGTTTGCCTTGGTTGTGTTGCCATTTCAAGCTTCCTTCCCATAATATTTTTCTTCAAATTATTATGTATATGTAAATAGCTATGATTTAATTCATTAACTCATATGAAATTGAATTATAATTTTATAATTAATTTTAAATTTTCATCTATATGTTTTATTTAGGTTCATGTTTAATAAAAATCTACCAAGAAATATATATTGTAACATCTTAATAAGCTTACTCATCATAATAAATTTACTGACATCTTAAGGGAAACATTTTGCTTTTTAAAGAAAAGAAATATCCATACAACTTTTTAAATAAAGCAATATGGAAAGGCTCATAAGAACACAAAGCCCTTCCACCCATACTTCCTGTTCTGATTTCCTCTTTTCAGTCAACCTTTTGGGGTTTCAATTCCCCTTATGATTATAATTACTTGGAATTCTATTCCATTTATGTTTGATTTATTCATAATTCATTATGATTATTTAGCTAAATGTAATTCATTATAAAATAACTTTTAAAGACTAAATTATACCATATTCATTATACTTTACATTTTTATATTTACTTATTCAATTCAACTGAATCAAATTTTATTGCTAGAGAGAAATTTCCTAAATGCAGCAGCATCAATTTAGCTGGCGGCATTTACAAGAGTTTCCATACAGATAGTTGGTCTTTACTAAATATCTGCAACTGGTCCTTAATCATATCTGAATCATAAATGGAGTGATGGAATCATGTCTGGATCAGATGGATTCTATCTCTAACATTCACTGTGCTGGCCACAGTTGCAGGGGCTATGACTAGCTACCATCAGCCAGCCTTTTGAGCAGCCAGCCCTGTCTCTCACATCCAGCACATTGAGCATCCCCGACACTGATTTGCAATCTGCATAATGACTGGAGTCTGTGTCAGTGAGAGGGCTGAACTGAGGTAGACATTCCCAGGGTGCCTGCCACAGGAATCGCTCGTGTTCATTTCTCATGATGCTGGGAGTTCTGTCCCATGAAACTGAATCTCATCAATTCAAATTTATTCTTAAAAAATAGCCTTGTTTAATGGTGGTGACTTAAACTGTTATTTTTATAGTTCATGCTAGGTTTTTTTCATTAGTAAATGTCAATTTCTTCTAATACCTGAATCAGCTGCCATGGTGTAATTTGCTGATATGTTTTCTTTCAATGGAATTGGAAGGGTGAGCTAATGGGACCAAAGGGTGTGCAGAAATGGTGCTTAATTATAAAATAATGGAAAACAGTCTGCATCATGAAATTACCTCATAAACAGAGTAATCACAACTGAGATGATTCAGTAATTAATGATTACATCAAGTAAATTAACTCGTTTGTATCTCAACCCTACATAAATGATGTGAGAAAGTATAATACCTTCACTATGTAAACAATTAATAAAATATGGAAGACATTATAAATTCACAGAATTGAAAGCCCACACAGCTATAGAATTAATTACTTTTGTGTGCTTTAGGTGTTTTGGAAACTAAGAATTAATTTTCTGGCTTTGCCTCAAATCAAGACCACCCTGTAGAAAAGTTTAATTCCTCAGTGAGTACCTATTTATCATTTAGCGGAATGTTTGGCAACCAAGCCACCAAAACAACATATGCAAATGGATGTTTACTAATGATTGAATGAAACCATGCTCTATTTCTGAATGTGCTTAATTTGAGTAATGTACAAATACAAGGACTTATTTATTCAAAACAGGCTACCTTAATCAAGATGCAGAATTAATCTTCAAAGATACTGAATTGTTTACAATTTTGGCAGTTTTACAATCTGGCAAACATTTCTTTGAAAATGTGAGAGATGAGAACAATATGAGTTTAGTTAGATCAAACCTAAATGTATGATTATTTAAACATTTTCAAATAAACATTTGAAACTTTATCTTATAAATAATTGTCCTGGAGGAAATACTACATTACAAAACCTTTATCATGCAGTTTAAAATGTGAATTTTCAGTAGTCTTATGGTCTGGAAGGGGACTGATATTTGTGAATGTTCTGACAGACTCAAACAAAAACTTAGCATTTACAATTTAGGGCCAAAGAAATTACATCTAAGGCAACAACATATCTGATTTGATAGAATCTGAAATAGTTAAAAAGTTATTTGTGTGGTGAGGTTTGAGACCACAAATTCTGTGTTATTCAAAATTCCATGAATTGCATGTATCCTTTTATTTTCAAAATGGGTGGCTTACTTGTAAGGAAATTCTTCAGTTCTTTATTAGAAATACATCTAAATTTTATGCCCTGCTCAAGGGCATGAAATTCTGCAAACATTTTCATTTATTAATAGTTGTAAACACCTGGGCATTTATAGACATTACAGATATTTTTACATGGATAAATTTAGAATGTTGGATATAAGACAAAGATTTCTAATTTTAAAATCTATTTGTACTTCATAAGACTTTAGTTTCCAAAAGAGTTTTGATGTTTTGGTTTGTTTACCTTAAATAAAATATGATTTTTCTATTTAAAATATCTGAAAGTATATTCTCAAATATCAACTAGTTCTTGAAATATATCTGGGTAGTTACCAGTGTAAATGAACTCCAGTGTCAGGATTCCATATCCTTTAAAACAGATGATTTTTTTTTTTTCTTTTTGGTAAAGGGGCGGAAAATTGTGGGTATATTCTTGGAAACATGAATTCAAAACATATTAAGCCAGACTTTATTTTCCCTTGAAAAAATAATTCTGTCCTAATTACCACATGTGCATTGTTTATTGCTTTTAAAGAATGACTTAACATGATTTATAAGCAAGCACCTGAGAAAGAATGTCTTATTTTCCTCCAGAAAAAGTGAGAGGCTCAGCGTGTGAGACCAACCCAAAGGCCAGCACGACACCGGATGATAGTCCTAAAATAAAGTCTTCACTCACAGATAGGAAAAGAAACTTTCAAAACTGGACTGATCTTGTGAGGCATGGACATTGATTT